TTCTGCTCTTTTGTGGAGGGAGTTTCCATCAGACAGAACTTTTCCTCCCGTTCTCTCAAATAAAGAAGGAAGACACACAGCCTGCACCGCTTCGCAAAAAAATAAATTGTCCGTGCGTCACCTGAGAGTGCAGTAACATCTCCATTATTAAAAGCTGTCGCAGGTCCATTCTGAGCTCAGAAGCTGTTTGTTTATGTTCATCACAGAAGTAGAACTGTTTTTTGTTTTTTTTTTTTTTTTTTTTTTTTTTTTTAGGGAAAGTTAACTGTGCATGTCAGTGCTTCTATTCTGAATAAAAGCCTGGTGCATGTAAACACTCGTCATGATCBGATTYTGCCCATGTAAACCATACATTCCGATTATTTAATCCAAATACATTTGAATCCGATCAAAGAATTTTGTGCATGTAAACATAGCTAGTGTACCCTTGTAAGAAAATTTGGTGTTCGTTAACTGAAATCGAGACGAAACCACAAAAATGTCGAATAGATTAAATGTGAAGAGAATGGAACCATACAGCCCAGATCTGGTTTACGAGTGAGCTTTTTTATTGCTTGCGCTGAAGCAATCCGAGCAACGCTGCCCGAAACCGGAAGTTCCGGTCTCTAATACAGTATACGGGGATCTTCAGTGCCTGGTACGCCCACTACAGGCCTACGGCTGAATTGCAGACACTCTGAACAGCAATGCTCATCTAATGTTTTTATTAACGGTTTATTATGTGTTGTCAAGGTGTTTCGGGCATGTAGCTAAACCTATTTTAATCGACATAATAGATTATAAAAGTCAAGCCTTAAAACAGAAAACTAAGAAAATGATGTGGTGCTTTTAAATCAGTGTCTAATTGACTAATGAATTCCTTCACCATCATCCAAACATATCAATATAATATTGTATCATGATAAAGCTGCTGATTTACCCCCCTACTACAAAGTGACTCCAACATTAGAGCATGCCACCATTTTTCAAACAGAACAAAATGTACCAAGCTCACTTGGGGTCAGGTGTTGAGTCACTGCCTTTAGTGGAGGAGTAATGGTAGGATGGAGCAGGAAATGGGTTGACAGGCTGGGACCTTATTTCAGTAAGGAGAACATTGCTTCGGCCTGTCGTGGTAAAGAAGCTAAAAGGTAAAGCCCAGGGGCCTCATTTAGAAAGGATTGTGTGGAAACCATACTAAAAGTGAACGTACAGCCAAAGGGCAAAAATGACGTATGCCAAAACAAATTCAGATTTATAATACCGTGCACACGCATGTTTCTGCACACCTCAGACCACCGCAGATCACAGCTGCACCTCAGAGTTTGCGCACAGGTTCTGCCCTCTATTTCTTTTCGGGGCTCATTTTGTGCGTATGCAAGCTTTATAAATCCAGCCCCAGATCTTTGTGACTGCATGTCCTGTGTGCAGCAGTGCACGCCTATTCCCGCTGAAATGGTTGCCTCCCTCTGGAGGTTTTCCCAGATACGTCCCGACGGGAGGAGATGCCAGTGTAGACCCAGAACTAGATGGATAATATATCCCCCCCTGGCCTGGGACCACCTTGGGATCCTCCATTAGGAACTGGAGTGTCACTGGGACTGTCTGGATCTCCCTCCTGGACCTGTTGCTTCTGCAACCCAACCAGGATAAAGCAGAAGATGCACAGAGAGATCTGTGGGAAACTTTTGATTTCAACTGAATTTTCTGAAGTGTAAAAAATGTAACAATGTGAAGCTACAGATGCTCCTCTGGAGTGTCATTGTAACACCAGACAGTGTATTAAAGCGCTCTGTGTTGGCTGCTGCTTTAATTTCTCATTATCTATAATTATAAGCCATAAAGAAAGGTCTTAATAACACCTCTGGCATGTTTTGATGTCAGACTACATGTTGCCTAAGCAGTGATTCTCTGGCTTTTTGTGTATGTAATTATGAGCCGTTTTCTCAAGATCCAAACACTGTAGAAAGCCAAGGAGCCCAGAGTTTCTGTTGTCCTCCTCACTGGTTTCTGATCGACAGCCTGAGCCCTGAGGTCATTCTCCAACAAATAATTTATTCAGTCTATATGCTATTGTTGCAGTCTGCCAGAATCAGCACTTGCTGTTGCCTAGTGTGGGTGTGTTTGATGTCCTTAATGTATGCTTTTACGCCCACCCCGAGAAGTGCCCTGCCTCGCCAGTACTGTCTGAATAGGTGGGAATGAATTGAATTATTGCAGCGGCAGTGTGGGAGAGCGCCGGTGGGATCAGAGCGAGGTGGGAGGGGTGGGGCGAGGGCAGCACGTCACCGCGGACTCCTTGGCGCTGACAGCGAAAGAAAAGGGCAAAACAAAAAGATTCACAGGAACAAAGACGGGCGGACATGAAAGCAGGCGGGGAGCAGGGACAAAGCCTGGATGTCAAGACCTCCGTCCGATCAGACACACGGGGGAGCAAATAAAATACTCCCAACATTCATGTCACCCCTCCTGTTCTCACCTCCATCCTTGTGGAGGGGGTTGTGGTGTAAAGAAAGAAAAGCATCCCTCAGCAGTCACTCATCGATCCCTCCGCCACAGGTAGAAATTAGGAACAGATTTTTCTTTTAAACCTCTGAAGCATGAATTCTGCCTGATTCCCGTAAAAAGAAAAGGAGGCAACCTTGAGTTTAAAGAAGCCGTTTCAATCCCAAAATCAACTTTTATAAAAACTAAAAAGGTGACGGTAATTTACAAATGTTAACTTGTTTTTTTGAGAACTGTTTTTCCCAACATGATACGATGGAACTGGTATTGAGCAGATGTGAGAATTTTGAGGGGAAAAAATGTGTAAATGTTAATTTTCCCATCAATCGTGAAGGCTAATTACGTTTTGTTCCCCTTAAATTGAAAGATGCAGATTTCGTTTTAAAACTAGACGTTGCAGATTTTGTTATTGGTATTTTCTGGATTGGAGTCTTAAAAAATCTGCAATTTCGGGATGTTTCTGTCAAAGGAAGAGATGATGTTTTTGTTTTGTTTTGTTTTCAAGCTGTTCTTTTTTTCTCACATATTCAACTGGTGACTGAAGTCTTTTGTTTCTTTGTTTCTTTACTGGAAGCAATGACTGTAACGTGGGGGGGGGGTGTCTGCCTCACGACTCTTCTTACTTCAGTTGTTCTCTCTCACCACAGTTTGCCTATCGACGTTGTTTTTGTCTTTGTTTTCTGTCTCATTATATTTTTTGTGTGTTTACACCAACACAGGAAGGACTCCTGAAGTAAACCATTAAATATAATATGTTGCATCTTCAAAGAGAGAAAGAAAAACCAAAATAATCATAAAAACAAAATCCCGATATTAAAGAAAAAAAGAGTAATTTTAGGCTCTAAATGGAAAAATCAGTGACATCCTCTGTTAGCTTTCTGTTTTCTTACAAAGATTTCAAAAAAGAAGTTTTAAAGAAAAGTTTTGTTTTCGAAGTCTGAACAACCAAAAGCAGCTGAGATGTTGACCTCTGTACTCTGACTGGAGCGTGGTGGTGCAACTGCAACAAATCTGTTAAAACAAGTCAAAACTTTTCCAGATTCCTGGAAATATCAAAAATCTATGATAGAGAGGCCAAAACTGGACTCGTGGTTTTGTTCTCAAAAAGTTGTCAAAAAGCCAAACGTCAGAACATCTGAATGAACTGAACATTTTCATACACAGGTGGATAAACTAGTACGCACAAGTAGCCAAAACTTAGATTACAAAGTCACACAGTGAACCTGTTGCGTTTCACACTTTGTGGATTTTTTTTCATAGAAACTAACAACTAGTAATTTTTGGCAATCCCCATATCACGTGAACCAGACATACAACACAGTAAAAAACACTGATTTATTTTTTCTTGTGCTGTTTTGTGAGTTTTCTAGCTAAATTATTAGAAACAACATGATTTACTAATGTTAAAACATAAATATAGTTCAATGAATTAACCAGAGGTCTACAAAGTACTTGAAAAAAATAACTAAGTAAAAGTAAAATTACATGAACAGAAAATGATTTTGATAAAAATAAATTTCACTGATGAGAAATCTACTCAAGTAAAAATCATAAAACTGTTAACAAAAATTGGGAAAGTAAAAGTGAAAGTACTTTTACACACTCTCTAAGAAATAAACAGCTGAATTTACTGAACCAAACTGGTTTTACTAAGCCAGGTTGAGTAAACAGCAATATATGTATTTTATTTGCTCATTTAACTCAACTAATCTTAGTGGAGCCAGCTGACATGACTTTGTTGAGTAAATTCAACTCTTCATTTTTTAGAGCAGAAACGTCTTCAGATTTAATTTGTAACGAGTAACTAGGTGTTACATTTTAAAGTAAAGAAGTAAAAGTACCATTTTTAGCTTTAAAATGTCACAAAATAAAAGTAAAAGTTGCTATTTTAAAAAAATATTGGTAAAATTACAAATCTTCAACAAAACTACTTAAGTACTGTAACACAGTAAATGTATTTATTTACTATAAACCTATGGAATTAAAAGAATAAATACATACAGTACTGTATTTGTCAAGTTGTACGGATTGACTGTAAATTACACTGATTGATTGATTTTGCAGGTATACAGAAATCTCATGGATTTTTTTCAAAAACTCAGCTTCAAATTAATTTTACGTCTCAGAGCCTGTAGGACGTGAAAAAAAAGCAATAAATAAGCACCAATAAAAGTGCTCTGCTGCACCGGAGCAACAGTGTTGTGCCATAAAATCAATGCTTTTCTCTCAGCGTAGGAAGGGCTGGGTGGTGTCATGGCACACTGCTAATATCATATGAGACAATGTTTTATTTTTTTCATTTTTCTTTGTGAAAATGATGGATTTTTGAAGGTCATTGTACAGATAAACATCTGTAAGTGTTGACATGTGTACAGTACCATGCATGACACGTGCACCCAGAGTGCAGCGTTTCCACCTTCACACAGTGTGTTGTGTAGCAGCTAACTGTTTGTTTTTAGTTCTAATAAACAATATGAACTGTAACTCTATTAACTGTGTTTTATGTCTTTTCTTAGAGTCCATGTCAGGAGGACAGATAAAGTGGGGACTGAGGCGGCCTTCCATCCCATAGAGGAGTACATGCTGCACGTGGAGGAGCAGTTCCAGCTGCTCGCCCGACGTGTCCACGTTGACAAGAAACGTGTTTACCTGGCCACCGACGATCCCTCCCTGCTGCAGGAAGCTAAAACCAAGTCAGTGTGTTGTTTCAATAAAAACCTCCTGAACTCGTCCACTGCCTCAGAATGTGAGTTCACCTGCCCACCTGTGTTCCCCACCCTCTCAGGTACCCGGACTATGAGTTCATCAGCGATAACTCCATCTCGTGGTCGGCCGGCCTTCACAACCGTTACACGGAGAATTCACTGAGAGGAGTCATCCTGGACATCCACTTCCTGTCTCAAACCGACTTCCTGGTCTGCACCTTCTCCTCACAGGTTAGTGTAAGGCCGTGTGTGTGTGTGTGTGTGTGTGTGTGTGTGTGTGTGTG